ACAGTGGCATTTGTTTGTTTATTCGCATCACTTAGAACGTTCGAGTCAAGTGCTAGTCCTTCTTCCTGCATGACCGTGCTTCTTTACAGTCCGCTGCACTTGTCCGCAACGTTCTCTAGCTTCAACAGGCTGTAGCAAGTGATCTTTGTGGCAAGTATAATTCTTGGAGAACGCTTTTTTTCTGACAGCCACTATAACTTTACTATAGATTTTATTCTTCTTGTCTTACGTACGTCTTGTTCATCCTCTATACGAAATTAACCCTAACAGGCCTCAATACGCGCGAGGATAGAGATACGTCCTTCCTTTCCAAAGCAATCGTTTCCTTTTACTAGTCCTAACACAGAATGGAGAACCGGTGAGAATCACACCCCGCCCACGTAGCACGATCAGGTTTTATTTCTTACTTTCACCACAGAGTCAGATAAAATAAACTCCAAGTTCATGAGGTCGAGTCATTAATATCAAGGGAGCCTGATAATTAGGGATTTAATTTAAGTCTAGTTTTCGCTCAGTCTCTGGATCATTAATCATTTTCCAGAGTGTCAGTCGAGGAAAATAAATTTTAGATAGAATTTGCGTAGTTGCAACGTGGTTGACATATAAATCAGAGACTTAACATCTATCTCAGTTTTGGAGGTTGGGGATCGGGGGAAAAGAAGTAACTAAAGTCACGGACTAGCGGTCGGCCCCGGAGTAGGAATCGGAGGCCCCGGCTCACAGTGAGTGATCGTGTTCCTGCCATTCATGCGAGGAAGATCATAGCATGACGTGAGAGTGTCCGACAGCACATCTCCATTCACCGTCATCTCGACTGTAAGAGGAGACAAAACTGGGTCCTCGAGAAACTCCAATCCACGAAAAGTTCCGGTCACACTGTAGTAACCACCAGTTGAATAGAAGTTGTTAGCATGCACAGTTTTGGGTGTTTTGATCTTCGGCCGTCTAGAGCTTTTAATGGACACGCGCGCTCCTTGAACTTTACAGGTTACCTTCCTTCTGTTTGCACGACAATCGCTCGCCGCAAATGTTACAGTGTTTAAGGGATCATTGGCAGTGTCTTGCAATTCAACGGTCAGTCCCGTCTGGCCAATTGCAGAAACAAGGGTCATAGATGGATCATCGATATTACCCTTCATTTTCCATGAGTCCTTGTTCGTCACGGACCTATCGACAGCGCGAATCGACTTGAGATTAAGGTCTTGACCAGCGGTCGTGACGAGGGTGCTACCGAGGGTAATGCCAAGGGCAAGCAAAGAAAATACGCTGCGCATGATGCAGAAGAGATCGAGTAAGGTCCTATTCAGTATATACGAAAGAGCGGTGAGATATGGCGTTGATGAAGTCTATGTGCAAGTCCCAAGTCTTGGCTAGTATGTTTCTTTCTGCCTCGAATACGTTCTTATGTAGGTACACAATCATGTATGAGAATTGGATTGAACATGAGGCTTGAGTGCTTGATGGCAATTAACATATAAGCAAGCGAGCCAAAGAGCACCAGAAGTGTGTCACGACATTTGCACAGCGCGTGGAAAGGCTCTGGACGCTGTGCGCGTGCAAAGGAAACAAGAAATAATCGAAGACTCGCCTTCCTTGACTGCACACGTAGAAATGCGCAATTATCATGTGCTTCTTGGAAGAATCAGTATGCTCCAAAGATACAAAGAACTAATGATGAATCTTATTCAAGCGTCAGGGAGCATTTGAACAGCGGTTTTACCTTTCGATTAGAAGACGTGCTTTAAAGCGTCCGGTGCAAAGCGACCGTTTAAAAATGAACACATGGAATCTTTGCAGCCCCTACTTTTGCCAATGGGACCTCATCTGGGTCTCCAAAACATTTTCATCATCCAAATAAAATTATTTTATATAGTTGGGGTCCTAATATTGATGCTCAATGATTTGACTTGTGAAATTATTTGAAAACCATGCTAAAATGCAATCATCGACATTTCAAAATCGGCCTCTGTGGCTGCAATTACTAGCTGGAAAGCGCCTTGTTTTCAGCTCCTGCATAATTCATTGCAAAATATCTGAATCTCTTAGAATGATGTAAGCGAAGGGGATAAACCTGTCACCAAATTGTAGGCTCCCTGTAAATCACTTACATGTGGCATACAAACGAATCTGGACAAGCGTACCTACAAAGTACAAAATAATCCATGAGTGTAGAAATGTCGTCATCAATAACGTATGGGTGGGAGCTGTTACCTGTATGAGCAAAGTAATTCTTCCCTTTTTTGAAAGTTTTGTGGTCTTGTGTTGCTCCTCAGACCTCTTTCCCATGTTTCCAGCAATTTTGACTTGGTAAGAATCATGTTGGCGATGGCGAGAACAAGAAGATAGCAACACAGATCACACGTCGAGTTTTCAAGTAAAAGGATGAATCAAAAGAACTTACATGCGTGAGCCAGATTATCATTTTTCCAATGGCTATCAAGAAGACATTCACGGGAATCTGAGAAGGTCTTCCATTTGAAGAGACAAGCTTTTATGAACACATTAGATCACACCACAATCGAACGCTCTTTTATTTTTTGTACTGGGAAGTGATGCATGTTTCACAAGCATAGCCATTATCTATTATTGGAGCAGCAAGAGTTGCCTGTAACACAGCATGTAGGCAATTGCAAGATTTATCCTTTTCAAAATCTCCAAAAATCAGGAGGCTGCACGCCAGCAGCAGAGGCAAAGCGTGGAAACATTGGAAGCGCAAACAGCCATTGTCTCAGAATTTGACCTTTCCTTTGGATCTTTCAGTCAAAGATGTTAAATGTAATATGCCAACAAAGCTTTGACCGGAAAAAAAGTACTAAAGTGATTACATTTCGTAATCGTGGTTTGAGTATTGTTGCAGATAGTGAGAAGGAATACGGAGCGAGGAAAGAAAGTCTCACAGATAACGAAAGGCTCTCCATGCATGAAGTTTGTGATTCAATACATTATTAAAGACATGAACGAACGATTCAAACACAATCACTTCTTCGTCCAAATACAAGTTCGTGCTTTTCCCTGTTCCTGCAAAGCATCTCTTACATTCAAGGAATATGCATAATTCCCGGAATTAAGATTGCAAAAAACGCACACATTTCAAATGTACAATTTTATCCGTAGATCCAGTCTTCATGCCTTCTACATTTCTCATCAATTACCTTCGAACGAATGTCGTCAATGTGTTTCTGGACTGGTTCGTCCAAATGATTGAATACTTGTCCAACATGCTGATAGCTAAGATAGCGTTTGCTTGGAAACGAATGAGCATTCGGAAATTGCCCGCAACAGTACGCATCATGAGACATTTGCTTGTTTTTAACCAAAGGCCACACATCCATGTTCAGAAAGTCCATATCCTCGCCATACGCGCTTTTTGCTGACCAAGACGCCATTTGTGCCCCTATGTTCTATAATTTCAAATAGTAATATATTGATAAGACTATGACTACTGGTCGTATATAGAATATGTGAGATTACCTGAATAGCACCATGCGTCCCCCCCCACATGCCCCCATTAAGAGGATGACAGTGCCAAACGCTATCACGTATAGAATGAATTGGTATTCCAGAATTGATCCATTCTTCTACAGCCAATCGATCTCTTGCATTTAAGCGGGAGTCAGTGTCTCGTACTATAAACCTATGGGATAAATGTCAAGTGATCAGATTGAGCAGCGCATTATTGATGTTTCTCCGGAAAGATAAGAATTTTGGTATATGCCTGACCTATCTATACTTGCGTCGTCCGCAACCAGAAATCTCCAGAACATTCCCGCGATTAGATCGTTTCCAGTTGTCTGCATCATGATAATTTCGGCTCCCAATTCTTTCAGTCGCTTCAAGACATCTCGTGGCACAGAGCTGTCGACATAAAATCTTGCAATCCAACCTACCAGAGAGAGGAATGTATGACGTTAATGCCTAAGTCTAATTTGGATCAACGGACGTCTACGTACCTGGAAAATAGAGAGGAGCAAGCTCAGCATTCCGAATAGCCCCAATAGTGTATTTGGAATCATTACCATACAGTCCAAAGCTTATAGCACGTCTCTCCGTAGACTTCGGGAAAGCATTAATCTACACGCGGTTAGATATAATTTCCTTGAGATTAGATAATCATCAGACGAAACTTTTATATGCTTACCGTTGCAATATGCAAGCGATCAAGTTCGCTATCGGTAAGTCCTTCAACATCGTTCGGATCACTCGGCGAGAATTTTTCCTGTAGAGAATGTAGACGAAATCACAGCTGAATACCTCTACATTAAACTTTCTGGCGGAAGGGTACTGACCTGCTCGACTGGAAGTCTTGGATATCCTTCAATGACGGTGATATAGCCCTTTGTCGAGTTTTGTTGTCCTCGAGAGTTCACCAAAGCGTTTCCTACTTTGAAAATTGGAGAGCAATAAATAAATAGATTCTGTTTTTGTGAAATTGACGATTATCTGTAAGCGAGCTTACCTTTTGGTTGGGCTTCAGGCATACCATAAAGCCATCCCCAAAGCATATACTGCCAAATGATAAAAGTCCACAGAAATATTCCGAGGTACTGCCAGCGGAGGGTATCCCATTTTGTCCTTTGATGTCATTTCAAGTGAGTTGTCAACCAGGCTCAGGATAAGTACACATAGCTAATAGCACGACATACCTCTTTGTGCTCCTTGAGGCCTGATAAGAAGATTTCATTGCTTCTATTTATTCGTATCCCTCAGTTTTCGATAAACCTAATGCAAAACGTCCCGCAGCCAAGTGGTTTTCAGGAGAGCTTTAGTCGTAAACCATTGCTAGTGTCGTAACCTGAAAGGAAATTATTAATAGCACGTGTCTCACATATGGAACGTGTACCCCGCCAACTGGGGAGATTTTGGCACACGATCACCTATGCAGGCCACATAGGTCATCTTACTAGCCATCGCACATCCCTAGTCATCCTACTATCGGCTTTGCTTTTCGCTTCAAGATGACGGAAGTAGTGCTTTGACATGATCGTCATGTGTCGATCGCTGTCCCTGAACCATACGAGACACTGGGCGAGCGAAACGGTCGCCAGCGAAGGGTCAAGTAACGGATCTTCTGTCCAAGCCGTGGCTGAATCCCAACGACATGGGCCATTGATAGCCCGCTCAAGCGGCATTGTGAGAAACATTTGGTAGGCCTATGCTTCTCGACGCTTGGAAAGGTACTTTGTGAGATCTATTATATTATTATTACACTCTCATATCTGATTATACACACGTTCTGATCCTAAGTTTAATAGGTAAATGAGGGTATCGTCCTTCTATAAAGTTCTTACATGTCTCCTTGCTATCTGCGTTTTGAACGGTTTTTTATCTTTCCTAAGCTCGAATGTTACGGGCATACAAGATCAGTCTCTACGATTGGCGAATCAGCCAAGGGAGATGAAAAATTTTCATCGAGCGGAGTATGATCTTATCGTCATGGTACCAAGCGTGGTGGAATGGAAAGATCGCCGCGAATACCTCAGGCGCCAGTTTCAGCGCAGTCAAACTCTTACTTCTGCGAAGGTGTTACTGTTGTTCATCCTTTCTGATGAGGAGAAATTGAATGCTATTTCAGAAGCCCATGAACATCTCGACTTGGTTTTTGTGCCATGCAAGGACAGTGACCAAAGAGCAATGCCTGAAGAAAACAGCTCAACTACGTGCAAGGTTCTCCGAGGTATACAGCATATTACGAACCATTTCACCTTCGCCTTCTTAGCCCGTGTTGGAGATGATGCATATTTTCGATACGATCACTTTTGGAATAGTATCCGTCCATCGTTACCCGAGGGGCCTATATATATGGGACGATTCAATCAAGATGAAAATGTCTGGGAGCAACATCTTCAAAGTCACCTATGGCTAAAAACATATCCACCCTATGCTAGTGGTATGGGCTACATATTCTCGGAGGAGGCGGCTTATTACATAGGCAAGGCGTCTCAATTGATTGAGTTCAGGACCGGGTACCCCGAAGATGCTGTCGTCGCCTTATGGCTCATCGGAACCCGCACGTTGCGTATCCACAGTGCTAACTTCCATAATCATCTCGGAGGTGGGCCATATAAAACAAAAAATTGCACAAGTGATTCCATTTTGATCCACTACATGAATCCATCGTTGTGGAATGCAATCGACGAGAAAGGTGAACTTCTTTGCTAGGTCCTGTTGTTCAACGAACCTTGTATATTCTGTATGGAGATCCATCTAGAGCATACTAATTAAGCTGAGGCAGCAAGCGTTTTGTATGATTTCTCCCTCACAGGGGTGCCGCTCAGAGAAAACCCATATGAACGTTCAAAAGGCAGGTTACATGATTGATGTCTGCTGCAATGCTATGAATGTTTGTCCTTTAAAACATCGTAAAACTGTGACGCATTCATGTATTAGACGCTAAAATTTGGGGTCAAATTAGAGATTTACTCGGCTACACGACTTCTCACTATGCCCAAGCTTTCTGAGCATTGATTGAGAAACAAATGTTTTGTGCGCTCTGTTTTTTCCCCCCTGTATCGTCATTCGTATATGCATAAATCGTCTGCATAGTAGCGCCAGGACTTGACAGTGTACATTACGGATAATCTTTCAAATAGAGGAACAAAAAATGCTAGAGCTGCATTTTAATTGATTGCAATGTCCAAAAGCAATAATCAAATTGTGCAGAGATACATATGTTACGCATACTTTACACCCCAAACGCGTCGCAAGGTTTCTGATACCTCTTAAAGGATACTTTCTACATTTATTGATAATGAGTTAATGGACTTGTGTCGTTGATATCGACATTTTTGGAGCCTTACTGTTCCCAAAGTACAAATGAAGAAGCGAAATACAGCACGCAAATGAATGCGAATAATATGCTATTTATGCAAGAAATGACCTCTAAATCATCGATTTCATTGCAGTGCCTCTTCGATAGCTATGGCCAGGGATGAATGAACATCCCCAGGTCTCGTGCTCTTGTCAATAATGCTTGAATTTCAGCTCGGGAATGTTTGAAGATATACCAGTGCCATGGATGCATTTCAGGGTGGTTGTAGTGTACTTCGACGAACACCTGGGGAAGAATAGTGCGAAGGTCCATTAGTGATGTTCTCTGTCATGACATTAGTTCATTCATTAGAAACTCACCTCATCCAAAAATTTGTAAGTGCCGTCGTCCATGATGCGACTGAGAATATCATATTCCCATCCTTCAACATCCATCTTGAGGACTACAAAATCATTCTCTTTGATGCCAATGTCTCTCACAAACTGACTTAAACCTCGGGTTGGAGGAGAGCTCTTGTTATTGTCCTCAGCACCCACAAAATTGTAGTAAAAAGTGAAAGTGTTCAAGACTTCGTGAGTTTTATATCCTCTCGCCTCGGCAGATGTTCCCTTGACGCACTCAGTGATATTGCTGGCTAAGGTATGTATGTCCGCATGCAGCTTCGCATCAGCTTCAAAACCGTACACAAGGTCGAATTTTGTTGGGTAATTTTGCATCATCCAGCATACGCTACTTTTGAAGTCGTGCAAGCCGAGATCAATGTAAATCCGGCGATCGTAAACATTCTTGTCCGACGCATTTACAAAATTCGCCAGGAAATACGGGGTCACCTTTTAATTTTAGAAAAATATGGGACAGCAGGTCATTAATGAAATATTTTTGAGAAATAGGAAAATAAATCTCCTCACCTGGTCTTTGTCGTCGACATCATCAGTTTTCCCTAACCAGAATTTAGGTCGGTACTGAAAGATCGGCTCCAAAGGGTCAAGCCAAAAGCTGTCGTATGCGATAGATAATCGGTCATTTCAGAAGTACTTTTCCTCATATGTGCTGGAATACAGGCAAGGGAGTGGCTCACCGTCTCTCGTGAATTTCAACTTTGGCTTTAAGCTTCTGCACCTCCTCCTTTAAATCGCGAAATGTGGCATATTCAACCCTTCCCGTGAGCAGCCAATTCCCCGTACAGAATTGCACAAATATCCACGTAGCTAGCAGAGCAAGTACCAATCGCAATTGAGAAGGGTTTCGAAGCTGTGAGGTCCACAAATGGCGTACATAATGTTGCACACCCTTGCCGTACACCTTTCCCATGCCTGAAGTGATATATGGATGCGTGGTATACTGTCAGGCACTCTTTGGAATGATTATCACATCCAGATTGTGTTTCAGCATTGGCTTTTACCGATGCACAGCAAAGGCAATTGCTCTTACATCGTAGTGTGGCCTTCATGATGTGCCCATTAATGAGGCAGCCTGTCTTGACTTAAGACTGTTCTCCCGGATCTATTTCGGATTACATTAGCAGCCACGCATTCAATTTTCAAACTATGTACTCTCATCATGCAGATTGGACAGTCGAGCAACCATGACGTATTGATTTTCCAAAGCTGTCTCATTCACACGGACGCGCATACGTCAAGCGTGAAACGGCTAGGTCACGGAGAACGCGGGACGTAAAGTGTCCTCATTCACACAAGCCCATCAAATTTTCTGTTGCACGCTTGTACAAATGTTTGCAGAAAACAGATAAAAATAGTACAGCCACACAATCAGATAAAATGTCTATCGTGTACAGAGTGCTTTATTGTAACCTATTCTTTTTTTCGTTTGGAGTCGACCAAAGGTCCGTACCCCCATCAATTCCTCCGGAAAAAGTAATTTAATCAAAGCAACGAGATAAAAGTAGAATGAGTGGACGATAATATGTGGAACGATTTTTAAAAAAAGGATGCCGTGACGACTGGAGCTCGACTGTCGTTCACAAGCAATGTATTGACATGAAAGAGCAAAGCACTTCAGAAGAAAAGAAAAGCTCCCCTATGAGAGACTGCAGGCAATATGAAGTTGTACTACACCATATTCCTCATCCGCACACCCATGCACAAACGTCATAAAGAAATTGAAACTTCGATTATCATGACTCTTCCCTCTTGAATCGCTGCATGGGGCTCTCAAGAAAACCATGTTGACTTAGTTGGGTAGCGTACGCATACAAAGGAAGAATGCTAGCCCACCATCACCCAGGTGGGGCTGGACGCAAGACAAAATGAGGCTCTACGAAATGTGTTTTGGAAAAATGCTCATTTGTAAAATTTTAAGATATAAGCTTGTTACGCCAACAAATATGGCACAGTAACTAAGAATATGTCAGCGGTACCCTACTCCTCCGAGGAACTTCGACGAGTGAAAGGCTCCACCACATCACGCCAGATCAGGGCATGATTCAGGTGAAATACATTCCACGCGGGCACTTATATTTTTCTAGGTATCAAGTGTTGTGTTAGAGTTACGCATGTGATGTGTTGTGTATCCTTTCAAGCTGGGATCACTGTGTGCTCGTCTGTGGCTGGCTTTGATTGGTCGATAGAATTCTACTCTCAGCGACCACGTTTTGTAAAAGTTTTATGACGAAGAAAAGGTGCATCGGTGAGTCTTTGCCATATACCGAGACTTATCGAGATTGTGCCCCCGCCAAGGCATATTTTTTCTTTGCCTTCTGAACGGCCCATATCTGCCAATTCGTGTAGTCATCGCTCGAAGTCTTCTCCTCGCTGTCGACCCTCCGACTTGCCCCTCTCCGCAAAAGATCGTCCACGTATACTCCGTGGAAATGGTCTTTTCGGTCAAACATGCAGTCCCCGTGCCGTTTTATTTTGTTTTATGGTGTTGTGGACGGTGTGGCAGCGTTGGTGGCGTGACACGACGTGGTTCTGTCGTTCTTTCGAGATGCTTCCATCGCCACAGGAACCACTAGCCGATTCAAAATTGTCCCTCGACCGCAGCGGCAGCCCCCTCATCCCTTCCTCACTCTGGCTCGACACACGACGGTTCAACACAGATAAAAGCACCAGCAGCACCATTCGAGTAAATATGGGGGCGGCGGCGATGATCGGGGGCGGTAGAAGAAACTTACGGGTGCCCTTCACTTTGCTCCTGCTAAGCTTCCTGGCCTCTACAGCCCTAGCTGGAGTGATCGGTGTTGACTTGGGCAGCGAGTTCATGAAGGTGTCACTGGTGCGTACACTGATGACACAACGAATAATGAGGGCTTGGGAGGGAAGAGGTATGTTTAGAGGCTCCGTCAAAAGCGTCGCGGTGACCACTTATGTCCGTCCCTCCTTCCTTCTCCCCCTTCTTCCTTCCATCGACGCGTTCAGGTGAAGCCTGGTACTATGATGGACATAGTCACTAACATCCACAGCAAGCGCAAGACCGAGACCATGATTTCTTTCTACCAAGGTATCGCAAGCGGTTTGTCGATGGCCCGTGTTCAGGTCTTCCTTTGCCTCATTTATCCCCTCGAAGTCTCCGAATCTCGTCTTCGCACACTCCCTAAATTCCCGGCCTCACGAGCTCTTGTGGCATAATTTTCCCCTGAATCAGGCGAGCGTTCCTATGGCGCCGATGCCTATTCCCTCTTGACCCGGCGGCCGGACGTGACGTATGCACGCCTCCCCACCCTGCTGGGGCGGCATGACGACCATCCCTCCGTCACCCTCTTGGGAGAGGCCTACTTTCCCACCAGGGTGCGAATGCGTCTTCCTGGTCCTTGCCCTTCCTGTCTATCTAATCCGTTATTTCCCCCCTGCTTCCTGTAGTCCCTCTTACTCTCGCGGTCTAAATCATCTCCCTGTTCTCCACTCTTCTCCCCTCCACCCTCCCCCTCCCCTGCCC